CTGGTGCTCCGAAGAAAACAAAGACTTCATCTTGTTGCTAAACCATGGAGTCTTCAGCAAGAGGAGCAGCTTTAAACCTTTCTCTCTCTCTCTCTCTCTCTCTCTATATATATATATATATACATATACAAATATATATAAATAAGCAAGAAGTGAAAAATATTTGTCATTGTATGCTTTGATCTGAACAAAAAGATGGGTGATGTCACGTATTGGATACAATCATCTTGAACACAATCTTGTCAATCCAAAAAGATCTACTGCTTGTTTATGTTAGTGGAAGCAACTTTTCTTTTTGTGACCCTCCACCGCCTAATGATGTTTGGAAAAAAAACTGAGTATAAAATTCCGAAAAATCATAAAAAGTTAGTGCTAATTTTTGATAAAAAATCTTTTTTTTTTCACCTCAAAAGATCTCGCCGAGAAGAATTGTGGAAGAGACATGTCAAGATTTGTGGGAACTAACTCAAAATTAAGTTAAATTTGGGCTCGAGCAGAGTCAATTAGGGATGTTGACCAAAGTAGACTTCTCACCAACCGCCACCTGCGTTCCTCACCATAGCCGTCCACTGCGCCTGCATTCACAAAGCAAATCGCCACACGCGACTGATGTTTTCACGTCGTCGTCCATGATTGATTCTCTTCGTGGTCTTCGTTGTTGCCTGCCCGTGGGCCTGCGCCACCCGCGTGCAGCTTGCCGCAGTCGCCCGTGTGTTGCTCGCTATAGACCACCCTCTCTGCTCGTAGCCAACGAGCCCTCCACCTTCCCATGCTCCTATAAATGGAGCTTTGGGGGGAAAGACACGGAATAGAGGAGAAAAAACTGTGTGAAGTCCCATTGCTCGACCCAAATCCGACCAAAGTTTCTCATTCTTATTGTCTCTGACGTTACTTTTTCTCCGGCAAAACCTCTGGGCGTCGATATCCATCACCGCCCGGCCATTGTACTGTTGTAGCAACCGTAGAGAAGACAGGAAGTTGACTATTGACTATGGTCAACTCTAGTGGTCAATAGGGGTAATCTTATTTTTATTTTTTGTTACTTCTTGTTTAGTTACATTTAGGCAGAGTTTTTTTCTTCAAATTTTCTCTTGTGGTCATCGTTGTGTTGTGACTCGATTGTATGGTTCAAGGTTTTTATTGATATTTTTTTTTTCCCATAAACATAAGATCGATATTTATGTCATAATCATGTTAAACTGCTTAAGTTTGTTTTGTCTTTTATGATATGATTTTTTTACCAATACGATTTATATCTCGTGTTATGATGGGCACGAGATATGAGATCAACAAGTAGTAGAGCTAAATTACCATATTTTCGAGCTTTAATGATGGGCACGAGATATGAGATCAAGAATTGGAATGAAATATCAACTACTCTTTATGGACGATGAAGATGAAAACTATCTTAACAAAGGAGAAACTTCATAACACCATCCTTAGGAAAGAAGAAGCTGGTCACAGTGCAACCTTATTATGCATATTCAACTAAGCATTTCGGAAAGTTTTCCTTAGAACAAATAACAGCAAAAATTTGAGCCAAATTGGCAATCTTGTATCACAATACAACCCTTATACGAAATATCATCTTCTAAATCATAATCATGGATTTAAAAAATATTAGTATCTTCTCAATCATAATCATGGATTTTAAAAAATATATAAGGAAGATAAGACCCTATTATTATTATGTTCATATAAAAATTTTCATGTAACAATTTTATATGAGAAGAGTATAATTTCTTTAAATGCTGTTATTTTCAACCCTAGTGTCGAAAGAAGTCATGGACTCACATATGACAATCGAAACATCTAAAAGTCACGCTGAATCTTTGAATATATATAAAAAAAATGAGTCTCGGAAAGAAGGCAGAGAAAAATCTAAATCCAAATTTAGATCAAAGGATATTTAGTGATATGACTATAAAATGAAATGTCATATCAGCGTAGACCATCGAGTTTTGAAAAAAAAAGTTATAGTCACAAGAGAAGTAGGATGCTGAAGCCTTGTATGCAAACAAAAAAGTTGAGATCAAGGTACTCATGCTCTCCATATGTAATATTAAATCACTATTAGAAAATCTATGATGATATCATATGCGCAGCAGAAGAACAAAAAAATATTAAAAGGAGTTTCTCAATGAAAAATAAATAACATTTGCTTAAAAAACACAACAAGGATTGGGGAGCTGTATGTTTGATTAAACCAAACAATTATCATATGTGATTTCTTCTTATCAACAGAGGATAATAGTCGACTCCAATCAATAAGTGCTTTTCAGAAGAAAGAAAATATACAAAAAAAAGACGATCTCAACGATCTTCTCCCTCTTTTCTGATTCATTGATTTTTATTTACTACAGCCTTACGATTTGTTTCTATTGTTTGATATATTCTCCTGTGAGTGATATCTATTGACGTATAGACCATGGTAAATTGGGTGAGAAGCCTAGGACAGGGTCCATAACAATCTTTCAAAAATTGACATCCTCAGCTTCAATCATTGGCATTGGCATTTGCATTTGAGCGAAAGGATCAGATCGATATCATCCTATCCCTTTTTCGACAAATGATCAAAATCTAACCTCATCCGGAAGAAGTATTGTCATATATTAACTTTATTAGGAGAATCGGCCGTAAGAGACCAATTCTGAACGGACTACTAAAACTACAAACATCCATCTTTTTGTCCAGATGAAAGCTTACAAGGATACATATTTTTCACTTCTTGCTATATATATATATAGATAGATAGATAGATAGATAGATAGATAGATAGATAGATAGATAGATAGATAGATAGATAGATAGATAGATAGAGAGAGAGAGAGAGAGAGAGAATGAGTGAGTTAGAGGTGCTGCTCCTCTTGCCCAATACTCCATGGTTTAGCAACAAGATGCAGTCTTTGTTTTCTTTGGAGCACTACCCCAAAAGCCTCACTCATGTCCACATCCTCTCCTGTCATTCCACCAGGCAACTCCCAATCAAAGTGATAAACCAGGGTTGCCAGTGCGAGCTCTAAAGAGGCATTTGCAAAGCCCATTCCAGGACAAATTCTCCTTCCTGCTCCGAACGGAATGAACTCGAAATCGTTTCCCTTGAAGTCCATTGCACCGTCCCCCATGAACCTCTCGGGTTTGAATTCGTCAGGTGCTTCCCAATGGCTTGGATCTCTGCTTATGGCCCATGCATTCACGATCACTCGTGTTTTCTTGGGAATGTTGTATCCTTGTATTTGACAATCCTCCATCAGCTCTCGTGGAACCAATAGCGGGGCCGGCGGGTATAGACGTAATACTTCCTTGATGATGGCTTTCAGGTACACCATCTCGTCCAACTCCTCCTCTTTCACCGTTCCTTTTGTTCTGCTCGCTATCCCTCGCACTTGGTGTTGTAATTTTGCCATCATTCTTGGATTCCGGAGGAGCTCCGCCATGGCGTACTCCAGGGCAACATATACTGTCTCGGTAGCACCACTGAATATATCCTGCAAGTCGATAATGTTGAAAAAATGAGATCGTTTGATGAATCTCAAAATAAACACTGCAAGATTGAAATAAGCACCACAATATACCTAAATAGGGGGGATGGGAGTAGTTTAGATTGCTCTAGTTTGGATGTAGCAATTTGGAGAGAGGGTTCCCCCTATCTCGTAAAAGAAATTGGTTCACTATACTATAGTAACACGTGAAAAATAATAATCACTTGCCTGAGGGCATAACATACGAATATAATTAATACAATATGACAAACACACAGTGAACTCAAGAAAGTTATCGACAGACATCCATCACTCACTTTCGTATGAAACGAATTATAATTTGTCATTAGTTGTTATATGTTGTGCTATCCATCAAAAAAGCAAGCAAATATTGGAACAATAAATATATCACTCATAATTTAGGACGAGGAATCGTACTATCAGAAGTGCCTTTATGGTTTGTGGAGTCAGGAGAGCATGATTCCCTCCTCGATCCTCCCGAAGAGAGAGCAGAACATCCACGAAGTCCTTCTCACCATCATCACCTTCAGCTGCTGATCGATCTTCGTGTTCTTGGATCACCCCATCAAGCAAATCATCCCATCTCTTCTTGGACTTGTTGACTCTCTCCATAGAGCCAAACAATACATCCACCCAACCCAGCCATGGGAAGTAGTCCCCCACGTAGAACTTGCTCAGTAGCACCGAAAACTCCTGGATCAGCTCGCGGAACAGCACGTTCCTCCCCTCTTCTCTGTTCAACTTCCTCGAAACAACTCGACATATTATATCGTTGGCGAAGTAGTAAAAGATCTCGGACATGTCGACGCTCGTCGTCGGCGAAGCTTGGGAGGAGATCTTCCGGATCATGAAATCCACTTCCTCCAGCCTAATGAGCCGATAAGACTGCACTCTTATGGAGCTCAAGAGGTGGAAGACGCAGATCTTCCTAAGCTGCCTCCAGGAGTCACCGTAGGGCGCAAACGCCACGTCCGTCGTCCCGCCGAAGAGGACTTTGACCGGCTTTAGAGCAGGCCGGCTGGCAAAGACTTGATCGTGGTTGCGCATGACATCTCGGGCGCCATCCGGCGACGAGACCACGAGGGTTGGCACCTGACCCAAGTGCAGCAGCATGAGGGGGCCATGCTTCTGCGACAGGGCGTGGAGGGAGCGGTGAGGGTGCGAGCCGAGTTGATGGAAGTTGCCTATGAAGGGAAGCTTGGGCGGGGAAGGGGGCATGCCATGGGTCCTTGCACGGAGGTTGTTTCTTTTGAGTCCTAGACGGAGCAGCAGTAGTAAAGAGAGAGGTAGGATGAGTATGATGAAGAGAGTAGGGAGCGGGGATGGGCCAAGCAGCAGAGACATGGAGGAAGACATTGCCCTGATTCCTAGTTGTTGTTGCTCCGAACAAACTCCAGTCGGGACGGGACGTTCCAATTTATTGCTATTTGTGGTGACTTTGGGTGGTCTTCGTCCTACACACACGAGTCTTTTTGAAATCACAAGTTTTCCGTGTTGTGGTAGACCCATCAGTGAAATCACCCCATTTTGGATATTGTGAAGAGTCACGTCGTAGATGATTAGGATCTGAAGGAGCTACACTCGAAACACACATCAGCCATGTCCTTGGTGTCGTGGGAGGAGAAATATGTCCCCGAGAGAACGATGATGAGGCCACAGATATCCGTCACAAACTGCGTGGATGATTAGATGATGCAGAAACTACACTAATACGCATCAGATTACCTGCCTTCAAGAGTCCTAAATGAAACTACAGAAATTTTGACAAAAGAAATCATGTCATGTCATTCATTCATTTCTCATTTACAGAAAAAAATTGGTCAGCCTAAAACATAAGGAGGAGGATAATATCTTTTTTTTAAAATAAATAAATAAATAAATGGATAGACATAACTATTATGTGATAGAATTAAAGTTGTAAGTGAATTTTGTCTAATACTTCACTGAAAAAAAATGGTATGAGCTCCCATAGTTTAATCATGGCATGGCATGGCATGGCATGGCATGGCATGTTTCTCTCACGATTATTCTTCCCTATATCTTTTTTAGGTAAAAAAAATTAATGTTTTAGAGAAAATTCGTCGTAAATTTTTATGATACTCCACTTTTATACTAAAAAGAAAAAAAATTATCCAAACAAAAACTGCATTGTTCAGCCATTAGCCATGGATCCAATCAAAATGATTAACTTCAATAATCGAGACCACATTATTGATTGGGGAGATAACTATCACATCACATGACACCATTTGGTACCACGATTTTGTCCTCTCACATTTATATCTTGGCCCCCCAAACAGTAGTTCAACAGCTTACCAATCAACGAAGCCAAGAAAAATAATTGTGTTGAGCCTCATCCGTAATCGTGAAATGGTATAGCCAAAAACTTGTTTTCAACGTTTCAACAAATCGATAATTAACAAAAGAAAATTGTTTTTTCAAGTAAAAAATGTGCTGACATAATTATAAAATGTATGCACGGACGCAACTTTATTTACGAGTCACTCTACAATTCAAAACTGGATTCTTTCTTGGCAATCCAAATGAGAGTTTTTGTCTTAAACTATTATTAGATCGACGTTAAAATCATGGATCCAATCAAAAATTTTCATAAATTAACAAATAAATTAATTAGAAAACTAAAGTAAATTAAAATTTATGAACGACCAACATATAAATTCAAAATAAAACTATGTCATTATGTAGATTCCAAAGATCTTTTGTTATTCAACTGACACTATCATAAAAACAAGGAATATGCACTTGCGTGAATGCAAATTTATTTTTAAATATTATAAAATTTTGATCTCATAATAAAATATATTCTGATTTATGTGTGGAAAGAATATCGTCTAAAAGTTCTTGAGACTTTGCATGTCTCCCTCGATGCTATGCGGTGAATGTACTTTCCTAATTGAATTAACAATAATAAATCGAGCTCCATTTTGTTTTTAAAATTTTCTAAAATGTTTTGCATCTTTTTCTTCGTCACCAAAATCTTAAAACTTAATTAAGATTCTACCAAGCAACAAACCCTAATTCACTAAGAAATTTTAATTTAATTAAAACTTTATCAACTAATTTAAATATAATTAAAATTGTTAAAAATACTTATCAATCCTCATGAACCTAATAGCTAAAATATTTTTTTGCAAAGTAAACGATAATAAAGATGAAAAACATTGAATTTTCCTTTTTTTTTAAGATGAAAATATCTACGAATGACAAAAAAGGCATTATGATCAATTTAGCAGATAGAAAAGGTTGAAACTCGTGCACATTAATTTTCTAATCTCTCTATTTCTAAGTCATCACAAAATAATTGCAAGCACATAGAGTGATTGTGGTAGACTTGTTTGTCAAATCACCGATTATATATTATTTTCCTATATTTAACTATAATCAATATCATGATTCTTATATTTTTAAAAATAGTATTGAGGTCTGAAATATTTAACTTTAATTTTCCTTTCGTTATTAACTTCATCAATAAATAAATAAAAACGCACGTGTTGTCACATACAATACGAATAAAAAGGATAAAAAAATATATACTTTTATTATCTTTTAAATTATTAATTTTATATTAACTTTTCTTCATGACCGTTTTCCTCTTCCCCTCCTCGCCCACCATATCTACCGTTAATCCGACTCATTTGCTGTACCTATTTGCCCATCGCACCCTCTCGCCTACGGCACATTCTCGCTCATCACACTTGCTTGCTGTCATCCCTCTTTCCAACCTGTTTATCTACCACCCAGTCCTCCTCACGACGACCTCATCGGTGTTAGTGAAGCTTACTTTTGCCGGCACTAAGCATGCATATGTGGTATGCACGGCAACTCGAGCTGCCGGATGGGATGCTGTTAAAGGGTGTAACATTATTGGCCATCAAACCAAGCGAGGAGAGGACGACGGGGCAGTCCATGGATCTGTCGCGCACTTACATGGTTGCAAGGTTTCAGATGCCTTTGAAGAGCCATAAAAGGACAGCAGCCAAGATGCTCAAGAACTATAGGACATACAGCCTGGAGATGAATTCCTTCTGAGCCCACAGAAGCCAAACCCAAGTTTGGCACTCTACAGGTGAAAATTAAATCCTGCTCGAGTTAAAGGAGAACTCCAAGTTGAATTTGCAAGATTTTTATAGAGATAATCAAGTTTGAAGATTGCTAGGTTGTTTAATGGGAACTGGAAATTAGTCACAAGCCATCCTGTTTGTTTGTCGAAGAAAGTTAATGTTAGATTAAAAGTAACTCGGATTGTGGTTTGTGTTTGTATGCTTGTAAACAAGAATCAAAGTGGTGTGTATACATGCGCTTAACGATCGACAAATGCATTCTTACTTACCTTTCATAAACCAAAATTGTCCGATGCAATATGTTATAACCAAAAGCATATTATAGCATGATGTACCTCTTTTGTAGATTTTCTATTGTAATGCTGGTTATTTGTTCCGATCGTTGTGTAGTTGTATAGTTTTGACAGCTTATGAGCATAAATGACAGAATCAGAGAAACTATGCTTGAAAAGAATTACTATGTCAATTCGGCATTGATCACCATTTTCTTTAAGAATACTTTGATTGATTTGGATCATCAACTATCTACTTGTAAGCTTCATGGGGGTATCCAGTAACTTATATGACATTGAAGCATTGATCTTATGGTCTACAATTGCGTTGTATCTTATGCGTTACGTATGATCTAAATTGTTATTTTCTTCATTCTGCCTTAGGTGTGTATATGCCTATGCTTGTATTCTTTAGAACAGAAAGCATATTAAGAATAACTTGAAATCTTTTACACTGTAGTAGTTCTTTTTGGGGCAAACATGAATGGTTAGTTGATGCAGGATTAACTGTTTCTTTATGTAAAAGTTGTAGCTTTCATGGATGTCTCCGAGGGATGGTATTCAATATACATCGAGGATGATGACATCTTAGGCGTCTAGCAATCATTATATGTTGTGAATGTTCTGGTGCAATTGCGGCACATACAATTATCTTGTTCTATTTTTGTTAACATAAAATCTGTAATATGTTGTATTAAAATATAAAAATGATCTTTTATGTCATGATTAAAATCAAATACTTAGATTTAGTTTAATGATGCATGCGTACCTTTTGTATCTTCATCTTTGCCTGTAGATGCTGAATGGGTTGATTGAAGCCTTCGGCAATGGACTTGTTGTAATCTTAGTTTTTATGCTACCAATGACAAACTTTGTCGTAATTTCCAATTTAAGCTCAATTATTATACAGTATGCACTATGTTTCTATTGGGATTAAAAAATAGACTGCAAATATCATATTGCAGTCATCCATGGTGTTCTAGGTTTATTTCCTTTGAAGTGTGTAGATTTGGATACATCTTTTCTATCAATCATTTCTTTTTTTTCTCTCACTTTCCTATATGAAATGCTGCAAGTGATTGTGTTGGATGTAAAATCTTATTTTCAGTATGTGTGATAAAAAAAAAATCTGTGATAACATCAACACAATGCTGGAATTGATGATGTGCTATTTTCAGTATCTTTGAAAGAAAGATGAATCAGTGTCCTTATGTAGTCGGAGTCGCAAAGACTAAAAAGCCCTTGGATACAATTTCGTGTCTTTCCTTCTAGTATTCTAGTATTGTATCTGCCATATTTTGAATTTAAAATCTTAAATAATTTAATGATTTAACAATGAAATTGTTTGGCTTTTGTCCTGTTAGAGGGAGAGAGAGGACAAACAAAAATAAAATAAATATTCAAATATTAATAATAAAAGATATAATCGAAAGTATTGATATAGTTTGCTAACTCCGACTTATATTCATAAAGAAAATCAAATTCTTTATCATGTATAATCAATCATAAGATCAATGAGTTATCTTCATCAAGTACAATCCTCTTATATGTTCTCTCATATAAATCATAAAAAAAAATACATATTTTCTTATCCTCTCTAAAAACCCTAGAGATATATATGATATTTATAAAATAACACAATCTTAATTGATAAAAAATCTGTTCTTTCACGACGACTTTTTCTTATACTGGAATTTCTTATCCTTGTATAACACTGACTGTAGAAATTTTAGAACAAAAGCATTGTGTATACCTTTGTGACTCTCAAAGGGAAAATACTTCCATCATGCTTCTTTCGATCTTCATTACTCATTCTTATCGAATATCTGAGACCACTTCTCCCTTATTATCTTTTATGGTCGATGTTGATCCACGATTGCTCATTCCGCTTTCATACGAACAAATGGCCTTCACAAGTTTGTGATTGCCACCGGTTACTATCTTCAATTATGGAATTCTGAAAGATCTATCATTCATTAGCTAACTCAGAAAATGATATGGAGATATCCTTTTGAGTTTATCACTTATGTTGCAGCCAATCTTCATCCGAGATTGCTTATGCCATTTGGTAAT